TGTGGAAGTGGCTGGCTGTAGATGACCCTCTAAAGCATTCTCCTCCCCAGGCAGCAGCAGGCAAGATTGCAAACCCTTTATACTCAGTCACTTAAATGGCTTGGCCTGATTCACATTATTATAGTACTCCATCTTTACACCAATGTAGCATGAAATCCAGGGAGTTACACTGCTGTAATGCTGTGAGGAGTCAGGCCCCTGACTTTCAAAATAAATCATTTAAGAGAAATATCACACAGAAAAGGTGAGCTAGAGAAATGTAAGAAATGAAGATAGTAGGCACCTCTAGACACTAGTTCAGCTCAGGGGTCTAGATACTGTAGGTGAAAAAAGGGAAGCAAAAGTGAAGCTGGGAGACCACGATTCTCTCTCCTGGCTATGTTACTTAGCACTTGGTTGATCTGAGCAAGCCACTTATCTGCCTCAATTTCCTTATCAGCAACAACAGAATAGTCTTTATTTTGCACGTTTGCTGAGCACCTTCTCGCATTTCGGCTACAGAGTGAAGAGAAATAATAGCGCTATGTGCTTTATAGCACCTTCCATCTGGGGACTACACTGACAATGTCATCTACTTTACACTGCTTGCCATCCAGTGTTGCCATCTCTCCAGCAGCTGATGACAGTGAGTTGGCTTCATGTAAACATGGCCACACACTTTCCCATTTATCTGCCTTAAAGATTTATGCTGCTGGCCAAAGCCATAGTACTGGAGTATCTTCCACACAAAGCTGATATAAATTACCAAGCCCCAAATGGGCATCATAGAGTCTCTGGCAACAAATACCTTTGTGCTAGACGATGCATTTCAGCAGGTCTCTCATGAGCACTCAGTTTCAGTACAGGAAAGTTTGCTCCTGCCACCTCTGTCAGGTGTTGAAAACGGCTTGACAAGAGAAGCCGGAGGACCAGCTGTTGATGGGCCCCAACGTGACTGAGGTCTGAAGGCACTATTGCAGTATTAGAAAAATAATAATAAAGCTTCAAGACAGATCCAAATTGCTTCCTTCTGCTCATGCATTAAAAGAGCCTCTAACTACTAGGTTTCAGATTCAGATCTGCATGAGCAACAGGAATATGTCTCATTAGGAAAAAAAACCAACCTGTTTATATTGAAGAGACTATAAAGTTGATGCGTCTGGGATGGATTCCAGCCTCTGAGCAGCCAGCCAGCCCTCCCCAGGAGGGGGTATGCCTCTATTGGCAACAGTTAAAGGAACATGTCTTGTTCTTTGGGGCTGATCTCAGGAATACAAGCACACCTCTCCTATACTGTTCATGCTGTATCATCAAAAAATCTATTAGACATCCCAAAATGGAATATGGTCTCATCTATAGTCTGTCCCATACTGGGGAGACCTGCTACAGATATGGTAAGGGGGACCACTGAAGTTAAATCCAGTTCAGTGCTGTGGCATAACTAGGACCAAAGAGTAGCCTTTAAGTACAACAGGCTCAATGCCATGAACAACAGTTCATGCCTCATTCTGGGCATGAACATGGATAGCTGTGCCTTGGGACTAGCATGCTGTAAGGCTGATGGGATATGTATTTACTTAAAGGGACGGCAGAGGAGCAGTGCGGGAAATGATCACCATGAAAAAGAGATTGCAGTGCTTAAACTGAGCAGGCTGCGTCCTGCTTTGCCTGCAAAGCCAAAGCTGTTATCCCCAGTGCTTCAAATTAATCCTCATACTGCTCACATTAAACTGATCCATATCCTAACCCTTGACTATCGTAAATAACTCTTGTCCTTCTGCTTGCCAGAACTATTAAATAGCTGTCAGTTACCATATTTATGAGAGCCAGAATCTCTCCAACAGAGCTTTTAACAGGTGTAATACTCTTCACCTGGCATGTTATTTGTGAAGGAATCTTTCACATCTCAATTTCTGGTCTGAATCCAGGATACGGTGATAGTGACTGACAGTCCTCACTCCACTCCACATACCAGGAACTGGATTCTTTTACTATAAACTGGTATGAAACAGGAGATGTAACTATGAAATTAGCTCAGAATCCAGACCCTGCACAAGTGTAATATAAGGTGTTTTCATAAATGATGGAGGTGGTTAGGTCATGGGCTGATGGAAAGAATTCAAGTTATTGTACTGACTATTTTAAATATTCAACTGTGGACATGTCTACACATCCATTTACACTGTCTTAAATTTACTGCGCAGTAAGCAGGAATAGGCCAGTGTCTACACATGCAGGTATGAAAGTGCATTAATGCTGGGTTTGGTCTGACTTGGGACTAAAGTTAGTTCCAATTCAGTCCACACACAGTGTTACCACACAGCATGAACAACATGTGCCCCTGGCAGTTGTGGGGGTACTGCGCTGACAGCGGCAGGAGGGGCAGCGAGCACCACAGATGCCACTGGCAGTATCAGCGGCAGGGGGGAGGGGTGGAGAGCAGCAACTGCCCACAGGTGCTGCCAGCCTTTTCGTAGGGGGTGCACCACCATGCTCAGGGGGGTGCACATGCACCCACGTGCACTCCCTACGCATCACCAAAGCTGAGTAGTAAGGCATCTACATGTGCATTACTGTGCAGTAACAAATCAGGCATAAATTTAATACCTGCATGATGTATCAAATTTAAGTTCAAGTCAACGTAAGTCATCATATTTACTGTGTAATATAGGCATGCATGTGTAGACATGTGCCCGTACTGCACAGTAATTTTGGTTACAGTGCAGTAAATGCACACATGTCGACACGTCCTGTTAAACCTAAGCAAGAAACACAAAACCCCAAAGAAACCACTGAAAGCAGAACTGCTTTTAAAGTTATCCCAATTGTTGCCTCCTCTGTTCTTTTCCCTCCACCCCTTCAATAGAAGGATGTTCTTAAGCACACCCCACCCACATCCTCCCATGCCAGGCACAGTTAGAATCTGTGGTCTATCTAGTCCAGCATCCTGTCTGATCTTGACAAACTGCCTCAGAGAAAAGGTCCCATGAGGCAGATATAACCTGTCTCCAGAGAAACAACTCCTTGTCTTTAAGTCCTAAATTGGTGGGTTTGTCTCCCTTTCCAAATCTCTTGGATGGCTTTTTTCCCCTCGTTTATGGCTATTTTTAAGCATCTCAGTCTCCAGTTAAGCCCCACAGCAATGAGTTCCACCAGTCAAACTGTGAATTGCCACAGGCTCCTCTCCCCACTCCACAGCCTGCTTGTCTGTTTCATTCCCAAGTGATTTTGGACATGGGGTTCAATAAATTCAAGCATTTTGAAATTTTGATGAGAAGAAAACTCTGAAACATGAGAATTTTGTCCCTATTTTTCAATCAGGTCTGATTTCAGACAGGGAGACTGCAATTCAACCAATGCAAATTTTCCAAATGCACAAATATGACTGTTATTGACGTGAAAATTTGACTAATATAAAAAGCATGGTGAGGAAGGAACTTCAAAGGAGAAAACTCCCCATTCAAAAGAAATTGGATCAAATGTAAAGGAAAGGATTCAAGGACTGTGTCTACTAGATGAGGTTTGCAATATTAACCATTCAACAGGGCTTTCCCTTTTCAGTCTCACAGTCCTACCAGTAATTTTCTTTCTTGTTTTGGTGCTTCTCCCACTTCTCTTGCATATATAAATACTGCTAATTTCTTGTTTCAGCTGAAGGGAGTAAGAAGCTGCGCAGGCATCTTTGTTGCTGGGAAACAGTTCACAAATCCTGGCTGGATGAGCCAAGTAGAACACAGGATTGATAGTAAATAATTAGCATACACTTATGTGGTTACTGAGAAATAGCTTCAGCATGATCACACAAATCTCTACACTCTGATTGGCTGACCAGTTATTAGCCAGTCACAGTACAGACATTTATCTTATGTACCATTATTTAGAATTATCCATACAACGATTATGCAAATCAAACCACCAAACCAATAAGCAAGCAGGAAATGGCACTCTATTTCACTGTAATGCTTTAAATAGTCCAAATGGAGAATTTTTAAATTTAATTTGGGCTTTCACTACTGATTCTGTGTTTCCTTTTTATCCATAGCTGTCATCCCAATCTTTTCTCCAATGCCCAATGAAGGGTGTTTGGGCCCAAAAGCTTGCAATTCAAGAATTTTTTTTTGCAAAAATCTTGGTCTAATAAAAGATATCACCTCTACTACAAGTCCTGATTGCCTTTTCCTCTAGACCAATATGGCTACAACCTGGATACCTAACACATGGAAGAGATCAAATTTTAGCCTATTTTTTTAAAAAGAAATCTTCACATTTTCCCAAGCAGGAAGCAACTGTGACCACCTGAAACCTGAGATCCTGCTCCTGCCTTTGATTCAAGGTAATTTGCATCATCATAGATCCACACAGGAGGTGAGAGGCTTCATATCAGCTATGAACTGACTGCCCAAAGGAGTTTTCCATCTATTGATTCCTCTGTAAAATCCTATGAAATATGAACTTTCATTTCTACCCAGGAGAACTTCTACAATCTTTTCTCCAATGCCTGATGATGGGTGTTTGTGCCCCAAACCTTGCAATAAAAGATATTTTTTTGCAAAAATCTTGTTGGTCTAATAAAAGATATCATCTCCACTATGAGTCCTGATTGCCTTTTCCTCTAGACCAATATGGTTACAACCTGGATACCTAAAAACAAACCAACAACTTTCACTTTGATCAGTTTCACATCCCATCTTGAATGTGTTCAAAGTGTTCAAAGTCCAGTGATGAACTATAATCTTTATAGAACAACAAAAGCCAAGCACCAACGAAAAATCATTTTCAATTGGGACTCCTTATTTTAGATTCCACAAAGTATGTTTCAGTAATATTAGTGTTAAGCTTCTGCACCATTGGCTTTTGAACATAACCTATATAACAATGTCTGGGTTTGCATGATGGCTGAGATCAGGAAACAAGATCAAATGCTGGCTTAAGCACAACCTGCCTAGAGAAATTCATTAGTTCAGTCACAGAGTATACAGCAGAATTCAGTAAAATTCTAGATGATTTGTAAACTTCTTGTATTGTTAAACAAAACACAGGCTATTTCTACTCACATAAATGTGCTTGTCACTTTTCCATCCTTCATCAGTTCACAATGTTCTGAGCACTTTGAAATTCCTGAACCTGTGTAGTTCAGGAAGCTCCTAATGCCCTCAACACAGCTCTTCTGTAAAGCATCTTTAAGTCAGGATGAACTGTTGCCTCCAGGTTACCTTTACCCACACACTTTTTAGTTAAGGGTCTTCTCCCCACCACCTGGAGCTGGCGAGGCATTTGTTTAGGAACCTCAGATCAGAACACAGGCTTGAACATTCAGCTCTGAAAAGCCCCATTTCATCTAGGCAGTCCTTGTCTATGCTGACTGCCCAAGAGCAGCTTTCTAAAAATTCTCCTAGAAGACTTGTTCAGGATCACAAGGAAGTTCAGCAATCAGTGAAAGAACCTAGATTCCCTGACCTTTGGTCCTCCACTCAACAAAAAACCCTACTCCTTTTTGCCAAGGTTGTATTTCCTCTGGGATTCAATATCCTTCTGCAATTAAGCCCACAGGTGTCCAGGTTCAGGATTATACCATGACAGCAGACCTTACAGACAGGAGATCACACCCTCCTCAGGGCAGCCATTGCCCGTGCTGTTTCTGCTCAGGTTGACAGTCAGATTCTTACCTGCCATTGCAATCAGGCCTTATGCAATACTTGACAGTTTTATCTGCCTACATTCCAAGTAGCAGCTGCCTCCCTGAATGAACGTCTCCCGAAATAGCATCCCATAGTACTTATGTGCCAAATGGTAAATTACCTATTGCCAGCTTGCCCTGCAATCAAAGGTAGATACCATTGCTTCTACCTGACCAACAATGCTATTCCTGTTGCGTAAATGCCAAGACTAAGCTTTTTAAGTATGGTCAGGGGCCTGAAATTGCCTGCTAAGACAGGCTGTGATTTTGCAAGTAGCAGGGTGATCTTTCCCCAGCAAGACTTAGTGCAAAACACTGGTGTGTAGCCTACCGAGAGCAGATGGGATTTCTGCTGCTTGTTTTTTGTGAAACCTCTACTCTTCACTTCGTATTTTCTCCTTCCTCAGTAAATTGACTGCTGAGAGACAACCTTCAGACAGGACTCTGTATTAGCAGTTCATTAAAGGAAGAACCAAACAAGCCAGATATCTAGATATTGATGCCTAGAAAATGATATTTAGAGATTTGCTTTTAAGAATTAGCTTGTAGGTACAGTAGATTCTGTATTAGAACAATAGTCCAGGGGAATGGCAACGATTAATTGTAGAGTTGCACTGATACATCTTGTGCGGGCCGGCTCCCGGTCCTGTCCCCGCCGGGTGCGAGCCGGGCCCGTCTGTGTGCACGCGGGCTGTGGCCGGCAGCCCGGGCACGCGGGGCCAGAGAAAAGTCGCGGGGTGGAGTAGTACGCTCGAGCTAGAATCAGTCACAGAGGCGTAATGGTTGATTGAAAAGATTATTTACTTACACCGGAGATGGTCGCGGTGCAGGCTGGACAGTTTCCCAGGTACAGCTCCGCTTCAATCCTCGTTGGAGGACTCTAAAACTTGGTTCCCAGGATCCTCAGAGTGGTTCAGACTCCGTGGTGTCGATAACTGGGTTCTGTTCCCAGGATCCCTGGAGCGGTTAAAACTCCGTGGTGTCGATAACTGGGTTCTAGGGTAGGGATTCGTCTGGGCTGCGATTGGTGACGGGGAGAGGCTAGAGGCCGTCGGTAAGTGGTGCCCCGGAGTTTGCTAGGCTCTGGGGGTTCGGCAATTGGAGCCTCTATCGCCTTCTTAAGAAAGACGCGCTGGGTTCGAAAGGACCCACAGCGCTTAGAGATCCGTCTCTCCATCTCTCTCCATCTTTCTCTCCAACTTGGGCGGAAACCACCCAAGCCTTTTGTACGGCTAGCAAGCCAATAGCTAGCCGCCACGTGTGCCTAAATTAAGACCGGCCAATAATGTGGCTCAAATCTCAATACAAATGGCGGGAAAACTCCTTTGCAGCGTGCATCACTAAATGCAAGAGTAATGCACAATGCAAAGAAGGCTACAGAACGACGGGAAACACTTTTCTGCACGCGGGTTCTCCATAACAACAGAACACTCCGTCGTGCAAAAGAGCTCCAATTCGGCGGGAACATAATTTAGCGGTGCCGAAGCACACACAATTAAAAAATCCACAACTTTGGGTTGTGACACATCTGTCCTATATTAGATCGGCACCAATATAAGCAAAATTGACAGTATCAGCAGTTGGCTTTTTTTGGCTGATGTGACTGATAATGCTGTTGATAAATGCCCTGTGCATGCACCCAGCCGCAGTGCAGCATGCAGGCAGCAAGGAGCGCAACCCAGCGGTATAGAGAGGCAGCATCCAGCGGGTACATCTGGAGTGGGGGGAGGCAGATCAAGGCCCCTGTGGTGAAGGAAGGAGTGGCGCTGGAACTGGGGTACATCCTGCCCAGCCAGGGTGGGGCAGGGTGGGGTGTGGGATAGAGCCCTGAGCAGCTCGTCCAGGGGGTGTGGGGAGCAGGGGCAGGAGCTACCGTCACTGCATGCACCCTGGGAGGGCATGGGGGGCATGTGCCCCCAGATCTGTGCACAGGGTGAGGGCAGACTGCTGCTGTGGGCTGGGGCTGCACCAGTAGGGGGTCAGACCATGGCTGTGCTCAGGGTGGGCAGTGGCAGTGCTGAGAGGAAGGCAGTAAGGGGGCTGAAGCCACCCCAAAATTCACTGTAGCCCCCTTCCCAGCAGTGCCACTGCCACTTGCCCTGAATGCAGCCCGGCCCAACCCCCCACCGGGAAGAGCTCAGCTCAGCCCTGGACCCAGCCCACAGTGGCAGTCCACCCTTGCCCCACACACAGATCCAGGGGCACATGCCCCCATGTCCTCCTGGGGTGTGTGCAGTGGCAGGAGTCACCCGCTCCCACACCTTACAGATAAGCCATTCATGGCTCCATCCTGTGCTCCCTTCCGACTAGGCAGCACCTGCCCCAACTCCAGCCCCAGCCCAACTTGATCACTGCAGGGGCCTCAATCTGCCCCCTAAATGCCCCTTCTCTCCCCTCACCCCTTCCCCCACAACAGACTTAAAAGCCAGACGCTGCTCTCCAAGCTGCCAGGCCACACATCAGCAATCATATTAGTATCAGCCAATATGGCTTGTTAAAAATCAGCCATCAGCATCAGCCCAAAAAATCTCTATCGGTGCAGCCCTAGTTAATTGGTTTCTAAAAGCCTGTTTGTGACAAAGTTTCCTTTAAGGCCCACTGTTTCAGGAACCAGCAGACAAACAGGCTGATAAATTGAAGACATATACTACACTGTTCCATAACATTAGATAGGCTTGCCACATTGGTGCCAGGTCACAGTGACCAGCTGCAGAGCTCTTGAGATTTCTGTTTTTTGGTGGATGGATCAAATTAGGAGGCTGGGGCATGCCCAAATTAAGACACTGGTAAATGACAAAATTAAAATGTGTGCATGTGATGGGTTTGGGAAGCAAAGGAATATGCTGCCAGAAAAGAATGAGGATGGTATGATGACCACAGGGAGACCAATCAACAGAACCTGGGAATGAAGAGTCATTAGAGGAAAAAAAGAATATAAAAGAAGGGATTTCAAAGCAGCAAAGGATCCCTGAGGAGAGACCTGAGACCACCATGGACAGAGGGCACACCACCAGTCCATCTTACCCACGCCACTGGGAGGGGGATGGGCCTTGGCCCTTGGGTGCTGACATCTAACATTCAAGAACCACAGGGTGAAGCTCGCATACTGGCCAGATATACCTTCCCTCTGTGACAGCCTTAGGACTGGGAGATACAGAATTGGGGAGTGTTATTTTGTTTGCCTTGCCTGCATTATTCTTATCTGCTATCACTGCGTGTCAGTAAAATTTGCCTATTTTTTAATGGAAGAAGTGATGGTTGGTCTGAAGGTTTAGGTCCACCCAGAACAAGGTATTTGGGTCATAAATCCAGTACCAACAGATATTAGCTATGTAGGGGCACAGGGCAAAGGGAATTTTGAAAAGTATTGAGAAGTTTATTTGATCACTTTGGTACCTCCCCATGGGTTAAAT